CTTTGCGTCGCGAAAGGGTTAAGTTATTTTCATTAAGTGAGTGAACACCACAGTGAAATTTTTTATTTATTTTTAAATCTCATTTTTATATAATGTGAGAATATTTTCTTAGAAGTAAAAGTAGAATCCCATAAAAACTGCATCACTGTAAAATGCATTGAGATATTTCTAGTTCTGAGTTCAAGTCAACAATTTAAAGATAATGTTCTCATATGAGCATAATGTGGAAATATGTNAAAAAAAAAAAAAAAAAAAAAAAAAAAAAAAAAAAAAAAAAAAAAAAAACTATATTTTCTAAGTTTTAGTAGCCTAAAACAAAATTAAGATCTTATTACTTACTTTCCTGTACCAACTGACAGAGGATATATATCATACATCATATTTAATCGTTGTAACACAGATACAGACTGTTTACTCTCTGGAACTGGGCAAAAAAGCTTTTCAAATTGTATCAACAAGGGATTTCCAGCATAAGAGGAAATAGAAGTCTCACAAAATGTTTCGTTCTTTTCCAGCTCAGATGGTTTCTTCAACTACAACAAACATAAACTTTTTAAAAAAAAAAAAAAAAAAAAAAAAACGTAAAGATAATTAAATGTCTTTACATCTTTAAATTTCTATAATTTTTTTAAAGAAATGTTTTCTAAGTAATTGTTTTTTAGTTTCATTTCAAATTTTTATATGAATGGTAATGAAATAACATTGTAAAATCTAATTAGTAATTGAAATTCATGTTACAAAAACTAAAAGAGACTTAACTATCCCTCATTTTGTACTATTTAGAATCAGGGTTGAAATTTTTTTTTTTTTTGGGGGTTTAAACTAGGTTTTTTTGGTTTGTATAAAACAAAGTGAAAAGTAATACATTATGCTCTGAATGAAAAGTAATTAAGCTATTATAAAGTATAATTATGAAAACTTTTTCAACTATTAATTAATATTAAAAGTTATAATATATACTAAAAAATATCCACTTTTCTTCCAGAAGTATGCTAACAAGATATAAAAGAATTGTAATTGAAAATTTTGAAAATGCTTTTACATTTACGTTATATTTTAACTTAATACAAATTAAAATTTAACATCAAAAAGTTATATTAGTAATACGTTAAAGAATGAATTCCACTTTATATGTCAGAACATATGAAAATGTCAAATCACACTTTAGTATTATTTAATGTCATTAATTAGAAGTACAATTTACAATATATGTATCAATTTATTTAATAAAATGATCATGTCTTTTTTTAATGAATAGAATGATGAGAAGAACTAAAAATGTTTAATGGAATAGGCATGCTTTAGTACTAATGATTAAATAGATAAAGAATAAACTACTTTCTAGAGATTTATTTTAACACAATAAAGCTTTAAACATAATTCTTTTAAATAATGCAACATTAAATAAAATAATATACATTGATAATACTTGAAAGGAATTTTGAATATTTTATAATAGTTTTAAATTCTACTCTATTTATAAAAGCGTTCTATTTAGATTAATAAAAATAAATTGCATACATACAATGAAAATTATTTTACACTGATATCAGAAAGAAATTCTAAAAATAAACTGAATATTAAAATGTAAAATTTGGAAAAGCACTTCATTTTCATTTATGCTTCTGATTGCAATAAGATGTATTGATTAACAAGATTAAAAAACAGAGAAACTTTTCTATAATTTTTAAAACTATCGAAACATGGACTTGATGATAGTCAGTATTATTTCAAGAATTTTTAGAGAATTAGGACTTAACTTTAAATTTACTCAAATTAAGATTATTTTGATAACATTAAAAAATTACGTATCACATACATTTATTTAAAACGACACAGACTCAGATAAGCTATTTAATTTAAGAAAGCTATTTAATTTAAGATAAAAAATTTATCAGAAAATTTACTATTTTTCCATTTATTTATAATAAAGCAAAAATTATTTATATCAATAAGAAAGTTTTTAAAAGATTTTTTCTTTTTAAAGAAAACTAAGTTAGCTAGTCACACCAAAAGGGATTTCTTCTTCAATAGGGCACCTGGCCTTTTGTTCTACACATTTTTCATCTAATCTAATGCATTGCTTTCCTTTTGAAAATGATCATTAGAGGTAGCTTACTGCCGTCAGACAAACATGAAAGAAATGCTGTGATAGTTTTGATAGTTGACCAATGATAGTTTTCCCCCCGTCCTTTTGGTTTAATGTCCTATTTTCAGAAAGGTTGAAACACATGGGAATTTTGTCCATACAGGGTATCTACTACGTTTTAGATTTTCTAATTTATGACTTTCCATGACTAATTCCAAGAATTTTTCATGACTTAACGAAGTTACTATATTCTCCAACAAAAACACAACAATAAATATAAAAAAGCATTATAATAACATTAATTGAAATGATAGGTATAACCAAAACTGTTATGCTATGCATCTTAATATTTATAGACTTTAAATTTAAAAAAGAGTTGATGCAATAAAATAGCTGAAAAGATACAAAAGCAAATAATTTTCTTCTTCTTTTTTTCAGCAGAATTATATTCTAATGATATTTTTTTTTGTTCATTGGAAAGGAAATACTCCTGATTTTTCTGTTCTCATTTTGGAAATAAAAAAAATTCGACAATGACTGGCTTACTTCGGCTAGAATTTTAAATTGATAAAATAAAAAAAATAATAAAAAATAAATAACAAAAATTCTGAAATCACAGAACTTTATAAGATAATTTGCTCTAGAAATATTTTTCTTTCATTTTTTGAAAAAATACCATAATTTTTAAAGAACATGATAAAAACATTTCATATTTTAATAAAATATGACTGTGAGTGGGGATTTTGTTACAAATTCAGATATTTGGAACACCATGAAATGGGGGGGGGGGTATTTGTAGTGTACGTAAAGGAAATAACTTTAAGTTTAAACCTCATACTATAAGACGTTCTTTTCTTTCTTTAAATAATCCACCAAAATATCAGAAAATAGAAGCCAAAATAAAAAAATTATTAGGATTAATTGAATTATTAGGATTCCATCTTATTACTTGGAAATTCAATTATTAGTTTTATAGAATGTTTTTTTGACTCACTACACAATGAAAATTAATAACTGATAAATAGTTAAGGTTATGCGGAAAATGGTGATTGATCCTATCTTTTGGCATTAGGTTTAGTTTATGCAATTAAAAAAAATAAGTATGTAATAAAGTTTATTTAGTTAGTAACTAAATAAACTTTATAAGTAGTTAGTTTATTTAGTTTAGTTATTTAGTTAGTATCTTATAATTAACTGTAAAACACTTAAACTTAAAATTTTGAATAGAATGGTGCAATTTAAAATGTTATAAGCAAAATCTAAAAATAAACAAAAAATATGTTGGACAAATTATTGCAAACTTACTTTAGCTGCACAAATTACAAATGTTGATTTAAATGGGCTGTTGGGCTCCAAACAGGGTAGTAAATTGTCTAATAAGAGAACTAAGAATTTACCCTAACATAAAAAAGAAGTGTAAGTTACTTCCATTTTAATCAAGACAACAAACAATAACATTTCATAATGAAAGAGTAAAATATTAAAATTACTTTAAAAATATTATTTGTTCACCAAAAGATAATAGAATATGATACTATTTTCAACTATAAAAAAAATTTGGAAATAAGACCTGAAATTTGTTTAAAAAGTAGAAAGAAAGAAAATTCTTTTTAAATACAGTAAAAGTCTGTTAAAATAACAATTCAAAACAGCAAATGGAATTGTCATTATAGTGAACTTGTTGTAATAAGCAAGTAAACTTATTCAGTAGAAATATAACAATGAAAAATTTTAAGAAGAAATAGACACTTTTATTTTTACAGACAAATTATTTCAATTAAAACACATATATTTTTTATCAACAGATTGGAGGCTTCACTGAGAAATTTATAAGCTGCAAGGAAAAAATTAAACTGCAACAGCGTTTGACATCATCAATAACGTTGGATATTGATTTCAATAGTTAGCTGTGAAGCTAAGAAAAACAAGGGAGCATCATAGACATGAGAGTAAAATAAAACATATTCTATCAGGGGTCTGTCCAGGGCAAATTTACTACCATTTAGGGGTACCTTCACAAATTCAACTTAAGGAAAAACAATAGTTTCACAAAATACTTTTAAGAAAAGCAAGTTCTATGATCCCCCCCCCCCGATTCTAAAAATTTCGTTGTTGTTTGTATTCCCATTTGTATTACGCATTTCAATTTGCAATAGAACTGTTCCCACGAATTGCTATTATGAAGCAGTAGAAGAATTTGCTTTCCACACAGTTTGTAAAAAAAGGGCTTTTCCTCCCCATGCCTGACTGAAAGCTTGTCGGGATCCTGAAACTCCAAGGGAGAAAAGGAGCGTCAGCTACTCCATTCCTAATGAGGAATCTGCATGCTTTTTTTTGTGTGTTTAAAATGAAACATTGCGCCATTTTATAAAGATAGACACCAATTTCAGACCGGTGCGATAACTCGTTATTTTGTTATTAATAGTTAAAATCGCTCGATTAGCCCCATCCCCTAAATCGCTGCTAGGTTTCCCATCCGCTCTGATGACGTCACAATACAGTACAACCACGACTCCCATCATGATTTGAAACGCCGAAAGCATATGCCGCACCGAGTATGAATTCTGAAAAATGGCTCCAAGCAAAAGCTACAAGTGTTGCATTGTACTATGTGCAATAGTTCTATGTTAAACACGCCAAATAAATTATTTTTTAGGGTACTAAAAAGAGAAAAAAGACAAATTTGATGCAAAGCCATCAAAAGCAATGGAAAAAAATCACAAATTGTCTGCAATTACTCCATTATACTGTTGCTAAAACCATTTTACAGTAACTTGATTATAATTTAATTCGATAAGATTGTTTTTCTGATTGATAAGCTTCTCTGAATGAATAATTCCTTATATTGAATTAAAATGTTTATGAAATGCTGTTCAGATCACTTTCTTTCTTTCTTTTTTTAATTCTTTAATATGAAAGGATTTTATTCTTAGAGAACAGTGGTGTACAGGTTTTTTTTTTAAAGTTAAAAAATAATTTTATCTAGCAGAAAAAATTATCAAAGTTAAAATAAAAAATGAAATCCCCAGAACCATTCCGGATTTAAAAATTGCTCTGGTGGAAGAATGGGAGGGTCTTCCACAAGTCCTCCTTAACTCCCTTATTAACAGCATGCATACTCGTTGTGCATGCTGTCTGTCTGTCAGGGGTGACCATACACCATACTAGAGGCAACACACACTGTACAAGCCTCACTTTTATTGTCATCTTTTATCCTTAAGTTCAGACTACATTGGATTTATTGGCAATAGGTCTTGCCAGTGAATGGCACTTTCATTTTTGTTTTGCATACTTTATTATCATGGAATAAGCTATATCCATACAAAATTTCATTTATTTATATTCAGTAATTTTGGAGATATTTGGGAAAATGTCTTCCATTTTGTTGACCAGGGTACCGTAATTTATGAAGAAACGCCGCACCTATCATAAACACCGCACTTGTGATAATGAGACTTAAAAGAAAAAAAAAAACACGGTAAACGCCGTACCCATAATAACGATTTAGCGGCAAAAGTGAATATATAACATTAATTCCTTATAAATACTACTAATGTTTTAAATTAAAATTTATAAATGTATAATTATAATAAAATCAAGAATGTTATCTGCTATTGTTTATTTTGGACAAACTGCTTAGAACAACATGTTACAATCGGCTGTTGGTGCCATCATTAGGTAAAAAATTTAAATAACTATATTTATATTACTTTAATATAAATGATTTTTTTACATTACAGTATAGGACCCAAAATTCGACACTCACGGGACTGACGAAATTCCGTATTTCGGATCTTTTCCGGAAATTCCCTTATGGCGCCCGTATATTACGATAATTCAATTACGCTGTTAATTTCAGAAAAACCAATAAATTTAGCTAAGTTTCAATTGTAGATTTTGATGGGGTGAATTTAAACTGTCCCATCTTTAGAAATTTCATTAATTAAAATAATAATCAATAAGATATAATCAAGAAGAAATAATCCGAAGGATAAATAATTCAAGATGAAATAATCCGAAAAAGAAATAATCGTTTCTTCTTCAGAGCGAGACCATTGTTCTCGTTTTTTCTTTTACATAACATTTTGTTTTAACAAAAGATGCTCACCTCGGAAAAAAAAGCTAACAAGGAACTACAAAAAAAGTAACAATTAATGGCAAGAAACTAACAATGAATAACTACAAAAAAGAAGCAAACAACTAATAATGATAAAAAAAAAACAAGTTAACAAGTGTAACAAAAAAAGTAACAGTTAATAAGCAATAAAAAGATAAATAAATCGAATTAAAAAAAAAAAGCAGCAAAAGGGATATAATTCATTTTGTACACCAAGTGAGAAAGAAGTTTCAATGTCAAAAGGGTGTGGCTAATTTATAGTCAAACAGAAGAGGGAAATGTGGGGGGACAAACCAGTAAAGCACTTGCACAGCTGTCAAGATTGATTCATCAGTTTCTCCCAACTTGCATTTCTTTATTTTGCTCATTAGAAATGCAGATGTTTTTACTTTTTAATTTCACTTTATTTTTAACTGCTTTAGGAACCGATGTTTTGTTTGACATGGATTGATTATTTTTTCTCTTCATGTTTTTATTTTTAAAAGACAAAATATAATTACTTACTTCAAGAGAAAAAAATTCCAAATAAAAAGAAAATATGACTGATTTTTTCCCCCCGCTTATCATTAAAATTTCGTTAAAAAAAAAAATTGGTCGGATTAAGTGCCGAATTTCGAGTTCCATACTGTACTACATATTTACATTTTATAAATACTTTTTTTAATTTTATTTATTTATTTTTTGGAAATATACCTGTTTTATTTAAATATGAAGATATCAGTTTCGCGTCCATAACAACGATGTATAAATATTAGCAAATTCTAAAAAGAAAACTTTCCGCAATTTAATTTCTCCACAAAGCACGTTGTAACAAAGTGAGAAAAAATGTGAAAGAGCTATCAACCACGCGGTTTGGCGCGAACTAGATCGAGAGCAACCCACTTTCTTTAAGGGGTTTGGGTTATCAATAGTGGTGCCACCTTTTGCCATAATTCGCAACTATTTTGATTAAAATTATTTTTTTCTTTGAAAAATGTAAAATTTATTTTTAAAATATCGTAAACGCCGCAATTAAAATTTTAAAACTTTTAAACTCGTGAACGCCGCGGCGTTTCTTCCATAAATTACGGTATATATATAAGATATAAACATGAAAGAAAAACAATTTTTTAAAACTGCAATTCAAATTAAAACGCCTTTGTAACACTTTTCTCAAAAGGAAGCTTTGATTTAACTCCTCCCGTTCGCTGAGTTACTATACTTTGACGTCATAAGCAAACCCCGCCTCATTTCGTGTCACGTGAAGTTAGTTTCGTTTTGGGCTAATTTTAAGTTATGTTTTTTTTAAAAATTCAGGTCAGTTTTTTAAATTCTGAATTGATTTTAGAGTTTTAGGATATAGATAATTTAAAATAAGCAACATTCTGCGATTTCCCAACGCATGCAGGTTCCTCATAGAAGTGGAAGAAAACGCGTACCATGCAAACCCCGCTCTTGTTGCAATCTATGGAGAAGAGTTCTTCTGTCTTCTACAAATACGTAGCACGTGTTTGGTCAGTTAGTGGGGCGTGGTAAGTCTAACCTATCGCTTATGCCATATTAAAGCAAGCTTTTTTTCCTTAGAAAATGACTATCTCCTTTGTAAAGTTCACAGGAAGTTGAAATTTGAACTATTATTTTAAACATTATTTTAAATTTATTCTAATAGACCTTTATTTTTTTAATGAAATTTTTTTTTCTCTGTGAAACTTTTTTCAGTATGACCCAGTCGAAAATGTTCTCATAATGAAGATAACTTTTAGTGCTAGTATTGTTAAATGTATGTTTTTATTAAATTCAAGTTAAAATTTAACTACGGACAATAATTTTTAAATTTGGATACAATTTTAAACCCAAAATTTTACAATAGAAAAATTGTTTTTGAATGTATGGGAAAAATATACATAGAAGTTTACCAGTTATTAATGATTTTTATTTGTAATGATAACTTTTGAAAATAATTACATATTTTACCATATTTTTGAGTTGAACTTTTAATATCATTTTTAATTTTCACAAAATAGGTACCTCTTGAAAAAAAACATAGAGACCCCTGTCCATTGAAGCATGTGGAAGTGTGGCACACTCAGGTTATATTATAGTCAGGAAAGGTTATGATTATAAGAAGGAAATAAGGTGGAATGATGTTCACTTTTCTGTATTAACAGAACTGAATAAAAATGCCTTTCATTTATCTCTTTTTAGTATAATATTGGTCACTTAAAGAGCAGAAAATGTATTTTCCTAAAGAAAAATCACTGCAATAGAACACTGGCAATTATTCACTCATTATAAACAAACAAAATTTATATTAGCATTTGGATGGTGACTTGAAAGCTTGTCAGAATAACGAATGTATCATAATATGCTCTACTAGTTACAAGCTTTTACAGCATGTTTTATTTTAACATTTCTTTGAGAAATATTAAATTACAACTAACAACAAAGCAAGTAAAGAAAAAATGATTAAGCACAACTAATCCATTGTTGTGGGTAATGATTTTATATTCCACAACAATGAAATTAGAACTTATAAGTGAAAAATTAATATAGATTTTTGTAAAATAGTTTTACTACTTTCACACTTTTTTAATTTTAGCGTCTGCATTAAATAAGCGATCGATATAAGTAGATAGATTTGAAAAAATTTCATTTCTATAAACAGCAAATCTGTTAAAAGAAATAGAACAAATCCTCAAATCTTTTCCTTCACAGAATTCCTATTTTTTTCAACACTGGCTATCACACAGATTGTCATAAAATATCTCCATCGCTATTCTGCAGACTTCTGACAACAGAGCCACTTTACAGAAACTGATTGCCTTTAACCTAAAATAACACATTGCCATGGGCACCACCAGGCAAATGCACACTGGGTAGTGGCAACCCTTAAAAAATACATGTGACGGGTAAACCAGGCGATAGCAGTTAGCCTTAAAAAAAATAATAATAACTGTAGGGTATACCACGCAAGTGTAATCGAATAATGGTATTCATAAGCCTTGATAATTCTGATTGCTAAAAACAATAATAAGCATTTTCCTAATACTTAAATTTTTTCCGATCTTTTATAAGAAAAAACTTAATATCAAGAACTAAAAATTCTTTATAAGAAAAAACAAAAAACAAACATGATCTCATAACAATTGTAGTTGCCATGATTATCAAAACAAAAATAAAAATAGGAAAAGTCATGTGAATAGAACCCACTCTGTGATTGGTCAAAATTTGCTTTGGCACAACAGCAAAAAGAATTTTATTTATCGACTGATCAGTGTAATAGACACTCTGATTCTTCTCTCAAAGATGAGTCTTTAATACAATAGCATAAGATGATAAAACAGTATGTATTAGAAGCTTCTTAATAGACTCATTCTGACAATTGTAGTAATACAATGTTAAACTTTGCAAAATTTTTTTTCACACAGATTTTTTGTGAAAATTCATCAAAATTAATATCAATTCCAAGAGTTTATTAAAAGTTGTGTGGTAGAAATAAACTTATTCTTTCTAAACTAGATTCTAAAGTTTTCTTGATAAACAAATTCAGCCTTATTAATTTAAAAAAATAATGATACATACCCTGAATAGAGTATTGCTCACAGGATTATTCCAAGTAACACTAAAAAAATAAATTGTGGAATATAGATAAGTTATTGTGCATAATGCTAAAAAATAATATTGAGAAATAATGTTCACCACATTAATCATTTAAATTCTATTAAATTTATGTTGCAACAAATAGTTGATATAATATGATTTCATTTTGCTGGACAAAAAAACTTAGCAGTGAAAAGTTTTAAAGAAATGTACAAAATTGATTTAATAATAAGATGAATATCTAACAAATGTTTTATCAGTAATATAGATAATTTAGTATATGAAAGTGAAAAATCGATTTATGATACATAAATTTTAACAAAGCTGCAGTTATTTCTCAAATGATCAAGATTTCAACAACTATCTTTTTTAAACTCTCCACTCTGATTAGGGGCTCTCAAACTTAAGTCGGATTGAAAGGTAAAAATGCACCATTTACATGTGTCATAAGTTTATCAGATAAAATGTCATTTTTAAAAAAAATATAAATAGAGATTTCATTATTTGTTTGAAAATAAATGATTTGTTCTGTTTTTCTTTAATATCAAAAAGAATAATGGCCATACTTGATTCTTTCACTTGTAGAAAACAAGAAATCAAATATATAGTTTGAATGACAAAACATTATATTTAATACATATACATGTAATTATGACTGCCATATACACAAATTTAAAGAGAAAAATGAGGTTATTCTGATCCAGCATAGAGAGATTATATTTAGCTGTCATTTGAATAGCGTAGTTTGACATAAATTTGTTTCGTTGAATAATGACGATGATTTCCTTTAATCACACAATCTATCAAGGCCTGACCTTAAAGGTTACAAAAAATTGTTACTCAGTGTTTTTTTGTTACACACCAAATGTGAAAAATCATAAAATTTTTTTTTCCTTCAAATATATATATTTTTAAATTTTAAACTTAAAAATATATTTAATATTTTTCTTAATTTGAAACAGGCTCTACCTTTCATGGAGCACTGGGAAAAATTTTAGGCCAAGCATAGTTTGAGAATTACTGCTACAGAGTTAAATTATAGATCATTGTTTTTTCTTAGCTAAATGCTTTTTTAAAACACAATGAAATTTTTGGCACTTTAGCCAAACATTTTCAATATGATCTGAATATTAGATTTTTTTTGGAAGACATTGTACTTGATTTTATTAAACAATTCATAATTAAATTTTAAATGAAACATTTGAAAACTAGAAGTTTCATACTTATCTATAATTTGTTATAGTTGCTAAATCATTAAGAGTTTTAGAACAATGGTAAACATATCTTCGTAGCAGCTAACAGGTATAATAATTTCTAATTATAAGAAAGCCTAATTTTCGCTAACAATCGTTAAAGTTCATAAATAAAGCTTAAAAGTTAATAATTAAATATTTTGAAAATATTTTACCATTAACTGGAGTTAGTATGTTATGAAAAATTTCTGGAAGAAAAATATTGTTCAAGTGTATTTGATAACACAAATTTTGAAGAAAATAAGAGGATACAAAAATACATATGCAGGTAAAAAAAGTTAACTTCATTACTTAGCAATTATTGATCTTAATTCTTCATAGCATGAATTTTGAAGTTCCATCATAGATTCTTCATTTTGGGAGTCTTTAAAATCAGAATTCCTTCTTTCCTTAAACATTTTCTTTCCTGCAAAATAACTGGTGAAGTTAAGAAAATTGTAGTACAATGAAATCAGCTAAAACAATATCGATTTAAAGTCAAAACTCGTGAGTCACAGTCAGGATTTGCCCGAGTGGGCCACACTTGAAAAAGAAAAATTCATCTTTATATCCACCAAGAGGGTTATTCTTATCATTTCCAATAAGTTTTCTTTACAAATATCAATTTATTGTTTGATAAATGCAATAAAGATAAAAATGATAAAAGAAAAGAGAGATCAACGATGAGGGTTAAGAAATATAATAATAATTTTTATTTACTGCCAATAAGCTGCAAGTACATAGAACTCATTAAATAAGTTTAAAATATACAGAAAATACGAGGAAAATATAAAGATTTTTTAAAGGAAGAAAAGAAAAAAATTAAAATTTTTCGAAAAAAATATTCAAAAATTTAAATAAATTAAAAAGCTGGAAAACAAAATAAGGAAAATATCATCGATATAAAAATCTTGTCATCAGCTCATACGACTACATCTGAACACTCTCTTTTTTCAGATACAATCTTGTGAGTTTATGACGAGATTATATCTGTTCCTTATTTTTGTCCCCAACAATCCAATTTTTCAATTTGTTTTTCTTTTTATCCTTATTCAAAACTTCATATTTTTTCTTACATATTTTTCTCTATGTTTTGTATACACACACATAGATATATAAATATATAATGAAATTTTTACAAAGTGTAATAATCTGCCACTTTTATTCATATTCTTTGCAATCTGATCTTTCAAATTTTAAAAAATTATTTGAAAAATCAAAATAGTTTAATCAAATGCATTCTAATGAAACATGCCAAACAAAAAAAACATATGCTACATTTAAATTAAGTAATGAAAAAATTATATTTCGTATGAAATGGTTTTTATTGGTTATTATTATAGAAATATTAAAAAAATCATTCAAAATTTACAAAAACATTTATATTTAAGAATAATCAGAATATAAACTTCTAGCGTAAAACTTGCAAAATTAGTGTGCTGCTATAAAAGAAAACATTCTCTTTATTAAAAAGGTGCGAGAGTCTCTACTGCTTCTGTTTTATCCAAGAAACTTGAAATCACAAAGGTGTTGTTAAAAATTGTATAGGGATTATCATGGCATAAAAAATGCGTAATTAGCTCGAGATTTATAAACTGCTTAACTTGTACAAAAAATAACATGCACATCACTCCGCAGGCAGTGGGAATACAACTGTAGAGCTACAGAGATGATTTCCTTGTTCTAAAAGGATAATTTTTGGTTATGAACTTAACACAAGCCTATATTTTTTTTTAAATTTAAATTTGTTTCAAGAGTTTTTATAGAGATTTTTTTTTACAGTGACATTACGGGTGAACTTTACGTTACGTTTGCCGAGCAAGAACTACAAGACCTAGAAAATGGAAACTAAGAAGTCTTACAAAATATTCAAGGAATACAATGTAATAAAAAAAAATTGGGTTGTTAGTATAAGAATTATCAACTGTTAAATTTGAATTAATAGCATCGGACACAAACACAGAGATGAAATTTGATGTGTTGAGATGTTTAATTTCATTTAGAATGCAATTGTTTTTAAAAATTCTAATTTGTTTTAAAGTTAAAAATTGGATCAAATGGAAAAAGCTAAAAATGATCAACACAACTTTTATGTAATAGGTATTATAAGAATAGCTTGAAATTAAATCCTGTATAACATCTAACAAAAAGTTTTGTTTTTCTCATCAAATTAAAAAAAAAAAACTTTTATAATTTTACTTTTATACAGAATTTTAAAATCAGAATAATATTCATATTATTAAAGAGTCACTTTAAGCATTCTTACTTCACACTATTTGATTATCAAAATTAGTATGCTATTTGTAATCATGAATCCAATATGTAATTTGTGGAAGGGTAAATGTTTTGTATGTGATTATTAATTTAGTAGTATTAGTACAATTTTATTATATTTCAGAAGTTCTTTAAGTAATTATAAAATTAGGTTTTTCTATACCTATTTAAATAGAATATTGAAGAACAAGCTTTTTTTTTCATAACGCGAACTTAACTATTTGGTATGAATTTTTAAGGAAGGAAAGAAATTCAATCAGATCTATTATGTAGTACGCTCTCCTTTTTGAATGTTTGAGAAAGGGAAGACCTCTTTACAGGCTTCAAACAATTGTTGCTTCTTAGTTTCCAAGTATTTAAAAGTAACATAATAAATAACTTTGAAATGATTAATATTACTTAAACCAGATAATTATTAAAGAATAATATAAAAAAATTATTTTAAAATTTTTTATAATATATAATATTTATAGAAAAAAATTTGCCTTCTTCTGTTTTACAAAAAAACAAAGATTTATAATTCAAATTTAGGAGATAGCCTACATCAAATCACTTGACCAGTGGTTAGTTACTTGCTTATGTATCCAATATTATCCATTAATGTCCAATGTTAATTATAATATACAAGCAATATAAATACGTGTTAGATAGAAATAATAAGATAAGACCTTCCAAAAAAGATATAAACATGGGTTAATAATATTTCCCATGTTTTTTTTTTTTATCAAGCGTTGATAAAAACTATTTTTTAATACCCAATTCTGTCTACAAACCCCTTTTCTAACAAGAAATTCTTAAGCTTTTTGAAATCGTGTCCTTTTTTCCTTTATTGCACCTCTATTTCAATTCAACCCAAACTTACTTAATTGAAATTATTTTCAAAGCGTAATTAAAAGACCAAGGCATCAATATCCAAATAAATATTGGCGCCAAATCATTTGTGGATTGTAGAAGAGTGCGACGAGTTCTTTGCATTAGCTTATAGCTCTGTATTTCCATTAATGGAGCTTACTGTAGAGGCTTCATAGATGGCGTAAAGTTGTAGAGAAGGTCAGAAGTGGTTTGTAGCTTAGAAGAATTTGTAGAGGGAGTGGAGTTTGTTACGAGGATTGGCGAATGTCTGGGAAACATCTCTGAGGATGATCCGAAGACGTGTAATCACAATTTTAATCCTCTGCAGAGGTGATGACACCTCCGATTCGGTAGCCCAACGATCTGTACGTAAAGTCGAGCACTTTACGGTACAACAGGACCAACACCGCACGCACTCGGTCCCTGCGCAGATTAATCCAAGTGGTCACCCACCAGCACACTGACCACAGCCAGTGATGCTTTACTTCGATGATCTACTGGGAACTGTGTCTTAACGATCAATCCAGTGCGGGACGCTAAGAAAATGGCTAATTTTTCGGCTGTAAAGACAGATGCATTCGGAGGAAGCTGACCTGAGATCATGTACCCTTTGGAAGTTTATATTTCCAAGTTAATTTTATCTGATTGTTTACATCCTTCGGTTGCCAGAACAATACGATTTGCAAGATTCCGATTGCGAAATTCTTCAAATAGAGTTCAAACCTGTAGCAGGAGTAAATCTTTGGTTTGGAATGGTAAATTATCAAGATAAATTGAGACGCTTTAAGGGATTTGAAGGGGAGGGGGGAATTTAATAACATTATCATGAAAAGAGTTTGTGCTGGTCATCCATCTATGCATGAATGGTATATAACTTATAAGTGAAGTTATTTTATCTTGTAGAAAGCGGGATGGAGGGAGATGTAGTTGATGGCAGGCTGTAGAAGATGACTGGAAGGTGATGTGTCGGAAGTAGAATTTTGCTGAGAGCCATTTATGTTGTGAAGCTAGAGTACTAATTTTTGCTTCTTTGATAAGAAGTGGAATTGGTGTCCATCGAGGTTAACCAGTTGCCACACGAATGGCAGCATCGTATAACACGTCTAAATTTTGTAGACCGGTATGGCTTTAGAAATAGAAGATGTGGCTTCAAAAGTCATTGACACTCACGATCCAAAAGTTGACAATTTGAAGCAGGTGATCCGATTGATCCCCCCCCCAGCGTGTGCTATAGAGATGCAATGAAACACAGAAAGTTTCTTTGGGATTTTTTGTTTCAACACTCTGAAGTGATAGTGAAAGATCATGATTAGAGAAATGGATGGAGAAATGTAGGCTGAGATTCCAATGGTTTTGGACCAAGGGGACAGATTTGTTGAATAAATTGAAATTGAAACTGTCAGCAATTCGTCTATGGAGGCGCTTTTTTCCGGTACTTTTTCAAGGTTTCATTCCTAACACTATTTCTGAATTTGGTGGAGAGAAAATTGCATGTTATATTTCTCTTCGAAAATGGTTTCTGCGACTGCAGTCAATTTAAATTCCCCTCATTAATGTGACGAGCGATGTATAATTAGAGAAAGATTCAATCAGAGCTTTTTGTAATGTCTGTGCAATCTGTTGAGCATGAGTTATCATTTTGGTTAAGGAGGTTGCTAATTCTTGAAATGCAGATTGGAATTCTTTTTTAGTCTCGAATGTGGATGGCGACTCAAAGGATGTGATTTCAGCGTAGGATTTTTTAGGTTTGGACTGATAAAAGCACCTAGCTTCGGCTATCGTTAGGTGATTTTCCTATTTTACCCGGAAAATGTTCACCTCTTTTCGATAAAATGAACATTTGGTGTCTGTACTAAGGTGAGCTTCTTAACACTGAGCACTGCTGTGCATTTTAAGGGATCGTGTTTGGAGATTCCGTGTTCTGTTGACTGCTCGTATCGGGTGCTTATTTTGTCTGGCATACAAGTTTTTGTTGGGTGGTCAAAATGGGTGCATTTGAAACAAGCGGGTCTGTCAGTAAATAATACGATGTCATAGTTCTGGTACCAGATTTTTATTTATTCAGGTACGATGTGCCCAAGAGTAGAGACAAGTACCGTGGATGTTGGTGATCTGTTTGCATCTCTTCGAGTAAATCGGATTATTTCTAGATTTTGGAGTTTAAAATTGGTTGATATTTCTGCTGCTAAGGAATCTAATGCTAATTCTGATTTTATTTCTTTAACAAGAAATTTGGTGAAAATGTGTTCATTTAATATCTCCGCTTTCACTGGCGTGCCTTGAATTTCAGTTATTAAAGTAGCGTTAATGGCAATATCCAGTACGTTCTTGCTCAGAAAAAGTTGATTACGGCTTGCGAATTTCAAGTATTCGATTGGGCCTTTAAGCTTTAAATTTAATTCTTTTTTAAGTTCAACAAGTTTTGATTTCGGTATGCTGACTTGTCCATTTGTTGGTTCCACAAGTAATGTCCAACTTCTAACCCCTAGTAGTAATGTCCAACTTCTAACTATATTGTTAAAAATTAAAATTTAATTTTGTTAGTGCTTAATTTATTATCGGTGAATACATGGCAGGAAACTAGTTTGTTCTGTTTTCAAAAATATATTTATACTCTTGAAACTTGAATACTCACGAAAAAGTTTCAAACGTCACCTAAACTATTGTAACCCGAAACATCTCCTGACAAATTTTGTTTTTACTTAATCATTATTTAAATTCCTTAAATAAAAATTGTTGTCATAAATTTTCTACTGAGAGTAGCATTTCAACTTCTAAGAGCTGATGCGTGACAACAATTATTTAAGAAAAATTATAACACAATAAAACCAATGTCATCAACAAAAAATATTGAAATGCATATAATGTTATGAGATATAAGCATTTACGTAACTACTTTTCCTACATAACTAATTTGAAATCCGCAAAAATCAGTTGATTTAGTTCAACTTATTTCGACATGTTGCAGTAATTTAAGAAATACATTTCTAAAGTTTTAAATGAAAACAACAAAAACTGTTTCCATCTTTAATACAATTTTTAGCTGTACAAGAGGTCATAATTATTGCAATACAGCCGTAAGTCCAGGAAAAAGAAAATAAATCTGGGGAACCAAAATAGTGTCGAGACCTAGAACTTCATTACACGGGATCCTGGGCCATAAACTTTTTGAGGGGCTTCCTTAGTTTAAATCTCAATTGGCCATTGTTTTGAAAACAGCCAAAATAATAATTGATTGAAAGATATTGTACCGTTANTACATTTCTAAAGTTTTAAATGAAAACAACAAAAACTGTTTCCATCTTTAATACAATTTTTAGCTGTACAAGAGGTCATAATTATTGCAATACATCCGTAAGTCCAGGAAAAGGAAAATAAATCTGGGGAACCAAAATAGTGTCGAGACCTAGAACTTCATTACACGGCATCCTGGGCCATACATTTTTTGAGGGGCTTCCTTAGTTTAAATCTCAATTGGCCATTGTTTTGAAAACAGCCAAAATAATAATTGATTGAAAGATATATCAATAAATCTTGCACTTAATATTCTTTATTATCCAATATCATTTAATAATATTATCAATATTACACAGGTTATTTTTCGAAGTGTGTACTCAATAATACGATAAATTTATCTTTTTGACATTTCATTATAAGGAAAATTTTTTGTTTTTATACAGTGTTGAAAGAAATTAAGATTTTTTTATGACTCTAAGGGCTATTGGTCTTTTGATAAATTTAGGGAGATTTTGTTACCTATAATTTGTTTTAAATGCACAAGTTTTTGAAAAACAAAGCATATGAGGATACATATTTTTAAATAAGAATTGATTTTTTATTGTGTAAATGTATTATTACTCAAATATTTAGGATGATATATATCTGTACTCACTCATGCTTGAGTGCCCGAAGTGCTACATTAAAGTGCTGAAGTTTTCAGGACACTTTATTTTTGATTTTATCTTAAGCAAAATATTAAATGGAAATAAGTCTTAAGCACTACGGTGGAGCTCAATGTTATTTAAACTCTTTTTTTTCTTCAAAATAATTTCAATTTTAAAGTATTTAGCTTTGTTTCAACTTCTTGAATTTAAATAAACGATAATTAAAAACAGAGAAAAACTTGAGAGAGTTGGTAAAAAAAAATCTTAATTTAATGAACACAAAAAACAAACAAATGAAATTTAACTAAATATCGTTCTTATATATATTCTAATATTAAGAAATGAAGATAAACCTAAAGAAAAACCGAATAAAGATAAATATGAAATGGAAACTAAGAATGCTTGGTGAAATTAAAGCATTTTGCGTTTCATGTTTTTTACAGTTCAGTCGAACAGATTCGTAATTTTTAATTCTGTTCAAACTGGGCACATTTACAAAAGTAGGCGGAAATAAATAGCAAAGATAATTATGTTAATAACATTTAAGAATAAAAATCAGTTATTAAGTAAATCATTCCCATCAGCTCGTAGTGGTCCGGAGGTTAAGCGTCCACAATTTAGTAACCAACGGCATGGTATTGGTAATGTGGTCAGCATTAATCATTGATCATCTTTACTTCCTAAAAATACTGGTATCCTTCAATCTGAAGTTGGTCGAACTTAAAGTTGCCATTGGGCATCGAACTCCAATAAACCCCGTACTTCGCGGCAACAGCTCAATGCTTTCACCACTAGAAATTTTGAAATTAATTTGTTATTTTCGGTAGTTTTTCTTCGTCTCCTTTTAAAAAATGTTTTAATGTTTTTTCGTTTAATTTCCGTTCTTGTTTTCTTTGTGTATTTGCAAGATTTATATATATATATATATATATATATATGTAACATAAAAAGCTTCAATTAATCTTTTTATGTTATCCTAATTATTATTCTTATCGAAATACTTTCTCACACTTTTAAAAGCCACATCCTGTTCTTAAATCTATTTTTGGCTCAAGCATGCATTTAATTAAAAGCAGG